CCCTGATGGCTGCGTAGAGTCTTCCCACGGAGCCAGGTTTTGCGGCTGCTGCAATTTGGAGCCGCGTTGACCTGTGAAACGGAGACCTTGAGAGAAGCGTGGAGGTTTACGCTCCCGGCTGCTGGCAGCCATGTTCCTCGTGGAGTGGCAGGAGGGGGCTGTGTCTCACAGATGGGGATGCCGCGTTTGGAGCTCGCCTGATTCCCCTCTTAGCTGTGCTGGGCACACTGGGCTGGGTGCATTGCTCTGTGGGACTGAGGAAAAGCTCCAAAAGATGTACACCGGCTCTTGCTCCTTCACTACTTTCTGCCTCCTCCCAGGGTTCCACTGCCACCCCGCAGCCTCTTTCCTTCCTGATTTGAACCAGCCCCTGCCCAGCGATGCCTGAAGTGGCTCAACAGCCTCAAAACACCCCATATTGCTTATCTGTTAGGGTGTTTAGGGGTCGTTCTTACTGAAAGCCATCCTTTGGTCAGGCCAGGGCTAGAGAGGGTGAATGACCCCCTCCCCGGCAGCCTCTGCCATGGCCACGAGGGTGCAGAGCCCGGGACAGTGGGCACAGGGATCTGGTTTGATTTTCCTTTCCCCTGGCAGGCTCCTGACCCGGTCCAGGGCAGGAGCTCCAGCATCCTCGTCCCTGGGGCAGGGCTGCCATGGGGAGCGGATCCAGGTTGGAGGTCGGGACCCCGTCCCCCCGTGTGTGTGCGAGTGCGTGTGTGTGCACACTCAGGAGTGCGTCCTGTGGGGTTTGAACAGCACATTAAAGCTATTCCCTTATCTAATCACAGCTCAGGTGAGTGCTATTAGGGTTATACATTAACAGTGGTAACGATACCCTCTCCCCACGCAGCCATTGGCCCTGCCTTGATCCCAAAGCTGAAACCATTCCCACCAGTCCCGCAAACGGCTCCATTTGGCTGCCCAAGCAGTTCCTTTGGCTGATCTTCTAGGGACAAGCAGAACTGTAACTGCATAGCAGGTCTAGAAGGGGCCAGCAGCTGCACTAAGAGGCATCACCAACACCCTCTTTGCACCCCGTCCACTCCATCCTCGCTCCCTCCCAGTGCAGCAGCAGCAGCCCCCGGCGGCTGGGGGCCAGCCAAAGCCACCTCCGATGGGCTTCCCTGGAAATGTGGGAGCGGCTCCATCCCTTTGCTCGGCCGCGCTCCCTGCTGCGGTGCTGGGGTTTCCCCGTGGGTACGAGGGCTCACCATAAGGAGCCGGGCTGGCTCTTCCCAAATTTCCTCTTTCCTTTCACAGAGCCATAAAAAGTCTCCAGGAGAGAGTTAAGTGTAACCCAGCATTCATATTCAAGGTAGTGGAATTATTCATTGTCAATAGTATTTCTTGCGAGTCCTTTCCTTTTCCTCGTGAATCACCCACGATACGTTCCCGAATTCAGCAGACATCTCCGAAACCAGCAATTAGTCGAGATGAATAACTTTCCATCTCTGGCTTGGTCGGGAGCCCTCTGCTTTGAGGCTTTGCTACCTGATGTGAAGCAGCGAGAGGCTGGGGGCCAGCTCACACGGCAGCGGCTCGCCGGTACGGCCGGGTGTCTGCCAGACCTGAGGCAAAGCGCAGGCTTCATCAAGGATGAAGGGAGAAGAGGGAATAACAAAGAACAAGCTGTGATGGATCTATTTACAGCTGAAGCAGGAAATAATAATAACGCTTGCTGAAATTCATGGCATGTGTGGTATTCACAAACCGCCTTATTTTTGGATTCTTTAATTTTTTTTTTTTACTTTATCTGTCAATTCCTTTGCTTTCCAGATGATTTTTTCTCTGAGCAGTGGTATTCAAACAGCAATATTGCAAATAAGAAAATTATTAAGTCATTATCTCTTCTGAAGAGTTTGTGCTTCAAATGAAAAAAAAAAAAAAGATATATTTATAAGAGAAAGAAAAAAACTTGTAGGAGTCCCTGAGCCTGAAGCAGACAGAGGGAGCCCGGTTTCTCACAGAGCTGCTAAACCCTGCATAAATATCTGCCGACGCCTCTGGTTTATTCTGTAACTCCCTGGGAATCGCTGTGCTTGCAAATTCGGCACAGGTCCCTCCTGGGCTGGGATGCAGAAGCCCTTCTGATGCTGACGAAGCCTTCAGCTGCGGGGCGGCGAGAGGCAGGGGGGG